CAGTGTATACTTCAATGATAAAATCATCAATAATATAAATCTGATTTAGGTATAGAAAAGTGAAAAATATTATACTATTACAAATGTTTATGTTTATTAAATATTATTTATTGCAGACTGATGCAATTTGTTTTACGTTGTGATTAAACCAAAGATATGTTAATTTACATACATTTTCAATTGCTATATTATGTATTACATACATTATACCTAAATATGTATCTTTTTGTTTAATATAATAAAAATTATGAATGCATACATTGTTTGATTTGTATTTATGTATTTTCTAACAAACTGATAGAATTGCTAGCAACATATTCTACCGGATTTGAGTTAGCGGATTTAGTTTCTAAATTATAAAAATCGATATAAAGTACATGTTATTTAATTAATAGATAAACATATATTTAAAGAGTAGCAATATATCATTACACGTATATGTAAACATTTCTCTTTTATATACATGTTATATAAAAACACAATAGGTTTTAAACATTTTTATTTACATATACATATAATGCACGTTATTACATTTTTTTATAATTCATAGAGAATAAATGTTATGAAAATCTATAAAGATGATTGTTTGTAGTAGACAATTCATATCTTACACTTTTAATTTTAAAATAAACAAGAAAGTAGTTCTGAATAAAAGATATATCGTAATCTGTTATATAATATAAAATAATAATTTCCAAAATAATTGTTGGTTTTTATATATAAAAAAGATTTGTTTTTTGTATGTGTGTGTATAAAATAATAATTATAATTAAAATAATAAATGTGCAATAATGTCTCTTTTTTCATCAGCATTTACTGCATAAATCTGATTATCGTTATTATTTCCATTTTCTAACATATCAATTAGTTCATCCTCATTATCGATGCAAATATTGTGCAAGATGCAACATGCAAGTATAACTAGTGGTATCATTTCTGTGTTGTACATATATACATATTTTAGTTTTCTAAATCGTCCTTTTAGCATTCCAAATGCTCTTTCAATTATAACACGAGTTTTCGATAATTTTGTATTATAATTATGTTGCATATTGTTTAAGTGACCATTATCACGGTATGGAGTGAGCATATAATATGATAATGGGTACGTCGAATCAGCTAAAAGATGACTATGTTGTGGAAAATATCTATCTCTATCATGATCTATCGCATTTTTAATATCACTTAGCCGCCAAACTCGGGCATCGTGAACACTGCCACAAATTCCCGTAAAAACGTCAATAAATTTCATTTTATGATTACAAATACCTTGCAGTAATATAGAATGGAATCCTTTCCTATTTATGTAACTGTTTGGATATTCAGTAGGAGCACTAATAGGAATGTGGCAGCCATCAATGACGCCTACCACACCTGGAAAATTACTAATAGCAGCAAATTCTTCTTGTATGTTCATTAATTCATGAACTTCTGGCCATTTAATATAATTTTGAACATATTGCTCTAGCGTGTAAGCCACATTAAAAACACATCTCCATATAGTATCTTTAGACACTCCAAATCTATCTGCAACGGATCTGAAATAAGAAAACATTTTCAATGCAGCAACAAAAACTGAAAAATATATGCATAAAAAATAAAACTATTATTTATAAACTGTTCTGTATGTATATCGTATAATTCCCTCAAGAAAAGTATTACAACTCAAAATATTTTTTGTACAAATCAGACATAATAATTATCAAAATAATTTTCAAAAATTAAATAATTGTCATTTGAATAGTATATCTGACTTCAAACTTAACAACCTTATAGTTTAATTTTTTAAGTACTAACCTATAAACTTCTTGATTGCCAAAAATCCATAAGGCAATAGCAAGTTGCTTAGCTGGTGGTAATTTAGGAGAATCATCATTGTCCCATAACGCTAATCCAAAAGTTTGTATCAGCTGCTCAAAAGTATTTTTTTGAACACGAAAATGTGATTTAAAATCTATAATAAAATAATATCGCAATTATTATAAATATAAAGTACAAAAAAATTAATAACGCGTACAATTTTATTATTACCTGTTAAAGAATAAAAAAGAACGACATTTTCAAAGAAATTATTGATTTTTAGATGTTGTTCTCTTAGGTGTACTATCTCCCAATCATTATTGTCCTCATTATTCTCCTCATCGTCATTAAAAATAATATCCCATATTAAAAACATATCCATTTTTTTATTTTCTGCAAAGATATAAATAAATTCTTATTTTTATATTGTAACATAAATAATTAGATTGCATATTTTTATCTACATTTATAACTTACTACAGTATAGTGTCTTCCGAACTATCTTCATGCGTTATAGGCGATGTCCAGCCATCGACCTCGTTATTTTGCGTGCTCTTTGCCTTCCCGCTATTTGACGTCTTCTTAAGATTCTCATTCTCTTTCCGTTCTTGTTGACTCGATCAGTTTTCTTCTCGCGCAATAGAATCTGCCAAATGCTTCTCGTCCCGACACGGCTCCGAGGTGACGTTCGAGTCCCACGGTGCATCCGAGACCGAGGTTCTGTTTAGGCTAGGAGCCAGCGCACTCAGAACAGTCGAGGCTGTCAAGGCAGTCGAGGCTCGACGATTGCCGATAAGGGGATGCCGCTTGGACGGGATCTCGATCTCACCGATCTTGGGTCAAAACGCTCGTTCGCGAGGACGATAGCGACAGAGAAGTAGCGGAGGTAGCAGAGGTGGCAGAGAACGACTCCTCCGTAGACGCGACGGCCACGGGGTGAGTCGCGCAAAACTCCCGGTGGCGTTTCCCGTCGCGTTTCTGGTGTTCCTTGGTGCAGTAGAAGACGACTTAGCAACGCGAGCACCTCGACAGCTTGTCAGTCTTGTCGCAAACCGCGCAGATCAGCTCCGCATTCGTTTATACACCGTCGCCGAGTGTCTGCGCACGACGGATATATTCAATATTTTCTGCAAAGATATAAATAAATTCTTATTTTCATATTGTAACATGAATAATTACAAATTGC